TACCATATGATGCAGAATCCAAGAAGCTATCGAATGAGACGATATTCGACCAATTCGTCAAGGATGTGGTGAAGATGTGCAAATGGCCGGTTTAGAATATGGTATTCCAAATTTAGTTATGTACCATACGTTTCACCAAATAAACAATCCTTTCAGTCTCCTCAGTCTTGTCTTCTTCACATTTGGTGTCGCTGCCTCTGTCGGAGATGAAGGTGCCGTGGCCGCAGGTGTTCGAGGATGGAGATGTGCGGACGTTCCTCAGGGACTTCGAAGCTGTCGCGGAGCTGGTTGGAGTGCAGGAGCAGAAGGCGAAGCTGGTGGTCTTGGGAACGCTGCTGAGGGGCCGCGCGAAGGCTGCGTACGACAACGCTCGGGAGCTGGAAGGTGAGGCGGCGTGGGACAAGGTCGTCGAGAGGCTCGTGTGCGAGTTCGGCAGCCCTGCGGACAGACAAGAGGCGCTGCAGAAGTTTCGGACGCTAAGACTTGGCCACAACAACAGAAATGGAACAGTAAGAGATGGACAAATGAGCGGAAACAAGCTATTCAGAATATACAAGAGAAGCGCAAGAAAGACATCGAAAATTATGGCAAGAAACAAATCAAAGCTTGGAAGCTGTTTGAAGTAGGTGACCAGGTGAAATGTAGAGAACGAAAGTATACTACCGGAAGTGGACCAGGATCAGGAAAGCTTCTGCCGAAGTGGGAGGGACCATATGTGGTCACATCGAGACGCGGTCCAGTGTACACAATAAAGAGAGGAGATAAAGAGAAAAGAGTAAACGCCAGTCTGCTACAAAGATGGAGAGAAGAATGTCAAGATGAGGTACCAGAAGAGCAGCAGGAAGAAACGTCTGTGCGGCGATCAAGGCGGTTACAGGAGAGACTTTATAATGAGGGGGCGAGTGTGGTGAGTGCTACTTATAATCCGATATAAGTAGTATATCAGGAACGAAGTAACAACATGTTTGGCACACCGAAAAGAGCAATCAAAGAAGAGAACCATGAGAAGAATGTTGCCATATGATGCAGAATCCAAGAAGCTATCGAATGAGACGATATTCGACCAATTCGTCAAGGATGTGGTGAAGATGTGCAAATGGCCGGTTTAGAATATGGTATTCCAAATTTAGTTATGTACCATACGTTTCACCAAATAAACAATCCTTTCAGTCTCCTCAGTCTTGTCTTCTTCACATTTGGTGTCGCTGCCTCTGTCGGAGATGAAGGTGCCGTGGCCGCAGGTGTTCGAGGATGGAGATGTGCGGACGTTCCTCAGGGACTTCGAAGCTGTCGCGGAGCTGGTTGGAGTGCAGGAGCAGAAGGCGAAGCTGGTGGTCTTGGGAACGCTGCTGAGGGGCCGCGCGAAGGCTGCGTACGACAACGCTCGGGAGCTGGAAGGTGAGGCGGCGTGGGACAAGGTCGTCGAGAGGCTCGTGTGCGAGTTCGGCAGCCCTGCGGACAGACAAGAGGCGCTGCAGAAGTTTCGGACGCTAAGACTTGGCCACAACAACAGAAATGGAACAGTAAGAGATGGACAAATGAGCGGAAACAAGCTATTCAGAATATACAAGAGAAGCGCAAGAAAGACATCGAAAATTATGGCAAGAAACAAATCAAAGCTTGGAAGCTGTTTGAAGTAGGTGACCAGGTGAAATGTAGAGAACGAAAGTATACTACCGGAAGTGGACCAGGATCAGGAAAGCTTCTGCCGAAGTGGGAGGGACCATATGTGGTCACATCGAGACGCGGTCCAGTGTACACAATAAAGAGAGGAGATAAAGAGAAAAGAGTAAACGCCAGTCTGCTACAAAGATGGAGAGAAGAATGTCAAGATGAGGTACCAGAAGAGCAGCAGGAAGAAACGTCTGTGCGGCGATCAAGGCGGTTACAGGAGAGACTTTATAATGAGGGGGCGAGTGTGGTGAGTGCTACTTATAATCCGATATAAGTAGTATATCAGGAACGAAGTAACAACATGTTTGGCACACCGAAAAGAGCAATCAAAGAAGAGAACCATGAGAAGAATGTTGCCATATGATGCAGAATCCAAGAAGCTATCGAATGAGACGATATTCGACCAATTCGTCAAGGATGTGGTGAAGATGTGCAAATGGCCGGTTTAGAATATGGTATTCCAAATTTAGTTATGTACCATACGTTTCACCAAATAAACAATCCTTTCAGTCTCCTCAGTCTTGTCTTCTTCACAATACCAAAATTATAGACTCACTGACTTCAGCCAACTTGAACATGTAAATCCATCAATATATATACAATTATAGGTATTAGTTAGTGGTAAACAAGCACAGAGTGGTAAATCGATAGTTATAGGTTTAATTTATATACAATGTTACATCCGAAGATTCAGTGTTTCAAAGGCAAATAATTGTAATCGGTTTTTTGCAACTTTTTGACAAGATATTCCACAAAAATCAGAGTTTCAGGTAACTATGCAAATGTAGCGCAGTAATCGAAAAGCGCGCACAATAATTTATTTATTATTATTGACATCTATTTGGTTAGACGTTAGACATGTGGTGGTTAACAAGCTTGAATAGACATTGATTGTGAAAGTTTTAGAAACACTTCATACAGATGTATTTTTGTGAAGCTGATAGGAATGAGAAAATCCTAAGGGGAATTGAAAGCTTGCTGACAGTCGTAGAGAGATTTGAATGTGATGGGAGAGAATCAAGTTCGTTGGAGAATTACCACTGAATGCATGTAATGAAGAATAATGACAACAATAACGATTTCAGTGAAAGGTATCGGAACCAGATAAATATTGAATAAAAGGATTATTCCTTCCTAATCACTTATTATTTTACATGAAATTAGTATACAATGATTATTATTACTGAATAAATATGCTTCAAATGAAATCAACGTCCTACTGATCCGCACACTTGAATTAAATGATCTTACGCAGTGCCGGAGTTTTGAAACTGCTCAGAGACTTTGATACTATTTTTGATGGGTCACAGAATATAAAGAAAGTTGAAATGTCCTACTGACACTTGGACCAACCAAACATTGAAGAAATTGTTAAAACCCCACATGTTCATGAGAAAGATTCTGAACACAGTTGCTGAGAGTAATAAGGAGTGCCAAATTTCAATATCTACTGTCTGATATATATTAACACTAATGAAAGCTTAGGTCGATTAGGTTGGATGAATGGGTAATGTAGACATATACTCAATTAAAATTTGATTTTCAAAAATTTGAGCTACTTATTTAGTGTTAGTAGAATAATGTGAACCATAAATATAGTTAACTTCAACATTTTGTGTATGGATAAAATTACGCTCAAACAGGCAACTCAGATTAATAAAGCAGGATTTAATAAATTCATCAAATTTCAGTGGAATTCATTAGCTGAATATTCCATACACCGGAATATGCATACCGCTGGAATTACATCAGGAGATAAAAAACTCAAAGGAAATATACCATATTGAATACCTCGACGAAAACAACAGGTCATCTTCAGATAGATACAAATAAGTGAGTTTGAGTGATGAAAATTAAGTTAAATTTGATTAAATTTCAATTACATCATTTTAGTAAACAGTCAGTTATCGGAGAAAGAACTTGAATATATGAGGAATAGCGAAATAAATGATATTGAGACAAATAGTTTTGGTATTAATAATATTAATAATGATAAGGCGAGTTAAGTCAATGGCACTGATAAACGACAGCTTCCATTAAGTCAGAAGTACTAATAAAAAGTGGAGTGAAATAATAATGACCAAGATAATAGCAAATAGTAAATTATACAGTGTGACTATCATTTCTTTTTGTACACAGAGTTTGTGTTTAGAAACCCTAATTGCAAAAGCCTCCGCAATTGCAAGTATCGTCTAGTTTGTTTGTTTGCTGACAACAGTGAATGACTTGAGAGGGTCAATATAATTTCTGTAGTCTGCAAGAGGCTTTGCTATTATACTCTGTGGTACTGTGACATCAGATTTTCAAAACACTTCGGGATATGTCCGATCATGATAGTAGGTAATCACTTCACGGTATAACCTCTGCATTTGCTTAAACAAACACCCCTAAATCGATGTAACCAGTTTGAAGTGCTTATAACCTGTGGCTAGTCATTCCCCGTTTGATGAAAGATGACCATTAGAAATCTCAATATATTGATTGCAAGACAAAGATTATGCGAATAAAGCAAGAACAATAGTCTGTGCAAAATAAAATGGTAACACCAGTGTTTATTTCGTTGACTTCTCATCATCTGATTACAGGCCAAAGTCATTATTAGGAATATCTACAGAAACACTTATGACATACTTGCACAGAGTTCATTTTTGAACGAAAACCAATCAATCAATATGTGCATACAATGCCAATAATAATAATAATAAACACGGTATCATACATAATGGAAACTTTCGATAATGCGTAATCAGATGAAAGAGAGTGGGAAATATCCAGTTACCAGTGCAAGGAGAGACTGATAACTGCTTCTTGGTGGACGCATAAATCAGGTTTCAGGCTCTTGTATAATAGCTACATCATTTTGATTGCAGGTATAGGATGTTGGATAGATAAAGAAAGCTTTAGTGACTAACCTCTGTTTCTACCCCCACATCTATAATACTTTTTGATGCTCTCATCCTGTCCTACTCTATTAGTTTGTTTATCAGATGTATCACACAGTGAAACAGTATTATTTACTGGATGACGTTTCAAACGAAACTGATTGTTCATAATCATATCAAACATGATAATTGTGTAATACATCTATTAAACAAACTAATATGGAATTACTTACTACCATAGTGCTCAAGTTTTACACATATATTTATATGACTTACTGTCCCACCCTATTTTTTGATTGCATGCAAGTGACTGTAATGGAATGGCTTGGCTTTTTTCAAAGTTATTTATCTAAGCAGGGTCAGTCACTCCAGTTCTCGCTGGATTTTTATGCTTCAAAAGATGTACATTAATCAAATTTTGGATAAGTATATATCTGTATTGTCCGTGTATCCAGCTTATTCGATCTCAATTTTCATCAACAGTAATATTCCAAATAGCAGAAATTGTAAATTCGTATTTCTCCCTATTTTCAGTAGTTCCATTTAGAGATCCCAAAAGGACATGTGAGACTGCAACATTTCCGTTATTTTCAATAAGCCAAGTGTTTTACAATCCCTCTTCAAATAGAATTCAATGCGCTGAGTGATGTGAAAATTCCCACAGTCCGTGAGAATACGTAATGCAAGTATGCAGATCAGTAAGACGGTGTAGTTCACTGAAATTTGTTGATTCGATAATAATACTAATAATAACAATAAAAATCAGGAACATAAAAAAGGATTAATAGATTAGGAATGAACACGCCTTCTGTGCAATATTTTTGTAGTCTCAGTACCTTCTATGAAAATTATTATTCTTATTATTGTCATTCATTCCATGCGTTCAGCCACACATCTCTTCAACACTGTGTTCAAATCTCTCAACGACTGCCAAACAAGCTTTCAATTCCCCTTCGCATTTTATCATTTCCCACAGTTTCAGACGCCTGATTCTGTATGAAGCGCTTACATAACTTTGATAGTCAGTGTCCATTTAAGCTTGTTAACCACCACTTAGTTGGAATCCATATGTTCCACTGAGACCCTAAACGAATGAAAGAAACTTCAGTAGGACCACGACATAAATTTTGTGAGCGTTACAGTGAATGATGACAACTCACAAAATTACTGTATATATCACGTAAATAATTTTGAATAATCATGAATAGCAAGATACAAATTGAGGCATAATTACCAAAAAGATGATGAAATTCGTGTTTTGTCATGGATTCGACATATGAAAAGTACTTGAACGAGTGGAATATGACAGAAAGTGAGGAGCAGTAGGGCAATTGAGACATATCCAGAGAAGAAGTATATTCGAAATATGCATCGACAA